TTATGGGACTACCCAGGTCTGGGACCTCATGCATGAGTAATAAAGCTTCTCTTGACCTGACCATTCCTGTAGTACCGCTTGTTCTTCCCCTGCCTGGGTAAAAGGCTAGAATTTATTTCTGCAACACAAGGGTCAGAGATACTGTCTAGAAATGGTAGATAAAAATACTTAAACTACAGATATAGTAGATGGATTACAGAAATACCTAAAATTAAGAGATGAGGAGCTGAAAAGCAACCAAGAAAAAAAAAAAAAGACTGAAGAAAAGTGTATGAGAGATCCTCAAGACCACCCAGGGTTTGGTGACTTGCTAGAACTTACAGGATATAAAAGTCACTAAGTCTCATAATTATAGTTTATTAGAGTGATACAAAGCAAAATTAACAAAGGAAAAAGGCATATGCCCGTGGGCCAGGTCCAGAGAAAATTAAGTGTAGGCTTCTAAGAGCTCTTCCCCAAAGAAATCACAAGGACTTCCTCTAGCAACAAGTTGTAACAACTATGGAGGACAAGACTAGTGGGGGCGGAAGAGATTAGCATAACATCTACACAGTTGTGGAAACTAGTATCCTGAGGAACTGTCAAAAGAGAGATTGAGTCCAACAGACCCCAAAGGTAAAGAGATGGAGACTGAGCCCAAAAGACAGCAAAGGTAAAGATGTGGAGATTGAACCCACTGCAGAATCTCCCGTCCCCTTCAGATTCTACAGTTATCCAAAATTAGCAACCAACTGACAGCTCACAACGAGTGACCCCTCCCAAACAGAAGACTATCAATTCAGTCTCTGCACAGGCTCAGGCAGCACTCCCCACTGCCCATCTGTGACTATGCAGGTGCTTCATTTTACCCACTGTCTCCCTCTGCAGGGCAGCAGCCTTCCTGCCTGCCCGTGACCTGTCAAGGCTGCCAGCCTGAAACCATGCAGGCCTCTCTTAGCAAACCTGTCCCTTCTAGGGCAGCTCTTCCAGCCGGCTTGTGTCTATGCAAGTGTCTTCTTTAACTGTTTTATCCCTTCCCTAATAAACCTGCCCTTTAAATATAACTAATGTCTCTGTCTCATGGAGAAACTCGCTGGGAAACCCTCCGCGTGTCACTAAAACAGGAGCTCTGGTGAAACCTTTCTCAGAGTGAACCCAAGGACCCCCACATGCCAAATGACAACAACACACACAAAATGTTATAACCTGGGAATCTTGTTAGTGACAAAGGGCCAAGATTCCAGACTCTCCAAAAGTAAAGTTGATACATACTCTGTATACACCAAGTGCTTCGTATACTTCAAGCACAAAATGCCACTCTTACCATATAAAGTTTTTCTGTCAGTATAGGGAAGTGTTTACTAACAAAGTTCCAGACACTAAACATGTGCCAGCCTTGCAGGAAATGCTTTCTAAGGACAGGTAGGCCTTCGTCTGTTCTGTTAACAGAGTTCTGCAAAAGGAGGCGCTACAAAGGTAAGAAAAAAGCCAAAAGAGTAGCCTTAAAAGCCAAGTAAAGAAAGGAAATACTTCAAGTAGGTAGTAATATTTAAGTGAAGCAGATTCGTTGAAAAAATTGAGATTTGAGAAATGATAATTAAAAATAGCTATTTTGGGGGCCTCCCAGTTGGCTCAAAGGGTTAACATGCAGCTTGGGAAGCTGTTCACAGCCTCTGCAGCATGAGTTCGAACCCCGGCCAGATAGGGAGCAACCCACATGGCACAGCAGACCTTTCCTGACTCTCCCGCTGCTCCCTCAGCAGTGTACTTTGGTTGATCTGCCTGTTCTGTCCCCCGCTCTGTCTCTGGTGAATGCTTTCACCCCCCACACCTCTGGCCTATACCCCAGTTCTTGTATGCATAAATAAATCTTCAAATAAATAAATAAAAATAAAAATAGCTATTTTTATGAATTACTGATTGAAAGGTTGATGCAAGGGACAGGAATGCAAAATCCCACCAGGAATGAGGAAGCCCACCTAGAAAAAAATCAGACAATAAACCTGTTCCCACCTAAAAACCCAGTTTCCCACCCTGCAAACCCATTTTCCCACCTGACCTCTCCTCACCCTATAAAAGCCTGCCTCCCCCTGGCAACGGGCGCGACTTCACTCACCCCCACCTTGGGTCTGTGAACCTCACCCGGGGACACAATAAAGTTTCCTGCCTGTGAGAAACTTTGCCTGGCTCTCCTTCTCCTTACTGCGCCAATCCTTTCACTGATGACCCCAATCTTTGTGGGAAGATTGACTGGAGAACTAAACACTGAAGAACTCAGTATTTAAGAGAGTGATATAAAAGTAACTGGGGATAGTAAATATAGACAATTCAACGTTTTTTTTTTTAACCTGTTTCTTTTTTTAAAAAAGATTTATTGATTTATGCATACAAGAGCTGCGGTACAGGCCAGAGGTGTGGGGGAGTGAGAGGATTCACCAGAGACAGTGGGGGGGGGGGTGCGCAGAACAGGCAGATTGACAGAAGTATACTGCTGAGGGGAGCAGCGAGCGAGTCAGGAGAGGTCTGCTGCGCCATGTGGGTTGCTCCCTATCCGGGTGCGGGATTGAACTCGTGCTGCAGAGGCTATGGACAGCTTCACAGGTTGCGTCTTAACCCCTTGCACCAGCAGGGAGGCCTAGACAATTCAAGTTTTGCTATAAAGAACCATGTAGAGATTTTCAGCAGTTAGAAGAACATAAAGCATTTTTATTTTTTGCAAGGTATGAGTTATTACAGCAATGTATGCTGATGTAAGTGATCTAATAGAGAGGGGAAAATCTTATCCTGATGAAGTCTATTTTGAGTGGAAAGATGTGGGACTGTTAGACAAATGGAGGAGTGGTAAAAGGCACAAAGACAGTTCACCTGAAGTAACAGAAGACAAGGCAGAATATCTAGTACAAATGTGGACTGGTTACAAGGTATAAGAGTAGGAGAGTGCAAATTCTAATTTCTAATTCTCAGTGAAATAAAAAGTAACACCATGGGAGTGGGAGAATAATTAAATTTCAGGAAATGAAAAATTTAACAATTATATAGCAGAGTGGAATAGTAAATGTACTAGAAATGTAGTAAAGTCATCAACATCATTAAGGTCCACTCTGAGTTGTTATTTAGTATTTTAAAGTAGGAAGTGTTACAGAGTTATGTATTTTCTCTATCCAAATTTAAGTACATAGGTGCCAGCATACAATGGCACAGAATTGGATTTAACAAGAGTTGAGATTTTGCCAAATAATTAAAGGAAATAGAGGCAAAATGATGAGAAAAGAGAGGTGCAAGGGAGTAAATATGTTATACAATGGAACTCAGGTGGCAGAGGAAAGAAGTTATGGAGTACTTCATTGAAAGAGGAGTAGAATCAATAGTCGTGATAGGGTCAGTTATTTGGAATCAAATACTGTTGAGGCGGGATACAAGAACAAAAATAGCTTGGGAAAAAACAGGAAGTACTCATTAAGGAGTATTCTTACAACTGAGTGGTACCATAGGTCTAGGATGTGACCACTGGAGTGGGTGTTCTAAAGAAAGGTGGAAGATAATTATGAGATAAGAGGAAGTCAAGGACTTGAAGAAGAGCTAAAATCTTTTAAGGATTTAGGGGTATGATACTAGACTTTAAATAAATTCAACAAAATGATGGTGCACACAAGAGTCTGATGTGAGAGGTGACAGAGAGAAGGGAAGGCATAATGATATGGAAGTTGCAGAGGAATAAGCCAGGCATCTATTCCATCTTCAGGATAAAGGAGATAAAAAACCAGCACAGCATCTGGCACACCATAAGCACTTAATATAGGTTACTTGCTGATAGTAGCAACAACAGCAGCAGCAGCAATAATGGAAAGAACAGAACAGTAGATTTGAATGATTTTTATTAATCTTTCAAACATTAGTCTCTGCAATTAAATTATCTTCATGATTTCTCTTTGCAAAAAAAGGTTTCTGGCAAAAAGGTTTGTGGCAAATCCCAAAATATCTTTTCATTTTGAGCACTTCTCATTCTGAGATCTTTTTCCAGTAGAGACAAAGAGCCCATTCAGTCTCTTGGTCAACAACCCCCTGTATACCAAGTGGTTTACACACACAAAGCATTTAACACTTCTGAATTTACCTGTGATCATGAAAAACAGCCCATATGAGAACAACAACCAAATAACTCAGTATCCTATTTTGCGACTTTTATGTGAAAAAATTTCAGTCATCATCAATAATTCACAAGACAAATTTTAAAATTATTCATACATTTTCTTTAACAAAAAAGTACACCTACAACAAGCCAAAATGTGGTAAAAAGGTGGTATAAAGGCCCAAATATGGGCCTCCCTGCTAGTACAAGGATTAAAGTCTCAGCGCTATCAAGCTATCGCCAGTCACTGCATCATGAGTTCAATCCCGGGCCAGGGAGCTAACCCAAAGATGGCACAGCAGACCTCTCCTGTCTCACCTGCTGCTCTCCTCAGCAGTGCATTTCAGTAGACCTGCCTGTTCTGCTCCCCACTCTGTCTCTGGTGCATCCTCTCAGTCCCCCAAACCTCTGGCCTACACCCCAGTTCTTGTATGCATAAATAAATAAAATTAAATCTTTAAAAAAAAGTTTCAAATATTTGCATATCAAACCATAATCAAAGAATCAGTGTAACTGCAGTTATTAACTTCTTAGTTTCAAGAATCATCAATAATTAAGTCTTTTCCCAAATAGCATTTTGTATTCTTTAAGTATACTTTCTTTGATTTTGTAAATAAAGTCCACCATTGTTATTCAACAGTTAACACACACACATACACACAAACTCTCTCACATACACGCCATTCAAGTTTTTCAGCTAAGTTTTAGTTACATTATATGTACTTACTTCCATGATTTCTGTAAATCATAACCAAGGCAGTATCATTTAAAATGATTATAAGATTCTCAGTATGAATTACATTACACATGTAGACTTTAGTACCATATGTTTTTTCACAACAGCCTGCTGTTGTGCTGAGATATATTAAATTTAGCACATCTAGTGACATACCTAAAGAACCCCTTGTCTGTTGACTGTTTGGTGGTATGTTTTCCTTGGCCATGGAAATTAATATTTTACTGTTTTCAGAAAGCTTCTCTGATGTCTTTCCCTGAAAGAGATTATTTATATAAGTGGGTAAAAAAGAAACCTACAAAATATATAATTCAGCAATTTTATTAAACAACTGTATAAAATAACATGATACATCATAGAAGAAATTTAAGCATAAGATTTAAGGAATTAGCCAAATGTATTTAGTGCAATAATAAATGTTTTCATATTTAGTTCATTCACAAATATTCACTGAGGACTTAGCAGGCCCTATATTCCAGATGTGGAAATACATGAGTGAAAAAAAGCAAACATTACAAATTTTTGTTATCATGGAGCTCATAAACTATTGTAGAAATAAAAGTAAACATAATAGATAATTGGGTTATGTATTATATATAGAGTGACAGGTAGAGACTACAGGGAAAGAAAAAAACAGAAGAGGTATGTTACCTCAATTAAAAAAAAAAAAAAAAAACAGAACAAGGAGGCTCAGAAATAGACAGCAACTGAAATGCCTTATTGAGCAGTAATATGTACATGAACAAAGTAGATAATAAAAGCCCTTTTCTCATAAACTCATGTAAAATATAACTGTAATCACTGGAAATTATACTTCATCCATAGTTATCACACAATAATGTTATCAGTAAAATTCCTTTATAATTAGGATGTGCATCTCAACCAAGATACCTTTGTCCAAGATAAATACTAAGCCAGACAAGACATGGGGAGAATAAGTAAACCAAGACAGTCTTGAGCAAACCAATACTATATGGTTATTATGTACCATATAGCAGATATAGGTTGTATCAATGAGAGAGGGTATCACATCTGTCTAGATTAGTGCTATGTTCTCAAATCCTAGCTCACTACCTAGAACAGTCTCAAAAAACATTTGCCAAATGGATGAATTACTGTAGGAAACATTTTAACAATCTATATTCTAAAAAGCAAATATACAAAATTTTTAATCTATTCTAATAAATTCACTTTTACAGATCTCCAAAAATTTTAAGACATTCACACAGAACTTTTTTCACACAGAATGTGAAAACTTGCTTTCGTATCTATTGTTTATATTCTGAAAGTTCCTTATATTATAACTAGTCTCCTAGACATTTCAGAAGGCACATATATTATTAAAATCCTAATAACAAAGATGAGAAACCATGAGACACCAACACCACAAAAGAAAAACTGCATTCTTAAAGACAGGCTTTTTTTTTTTTTTTTTAGAGTTAAGTCTTTTTTTTTTTTTTTTTTTAAGATTTATTTATACAAGCACTGGGTACAGTGAGAAGCCCGGGAGGGTGAGAGAATTCACCAGAGCCAGAGCGGGGAGCAGAGCAGGCAGAAGGACCGAAATACACTGCTGAGGGGAGCAGCGGGCAGCAGGAGAGGTCTGCACGCCATGCGGGACCCTCCTCTGGTGGCCGGGGAGCAGCCGGGGATCGAACCAGCGCCGCAGAGGCCGCGGGCAGCTTCGCAATCCAGCGCTCAACCGCTGCGCCACCGGGAGGCCCGAAAAACTGCATTCTTAACAGCACATATTACTTTGATTTACTAAGTGAAATGACAACTTTTCCTCTGTCCTCGAAAAACACACCATGGAAGTTAAGCAAGGTACGTTTGGAATGAGAGAATAGATATCACATACTATCTCAGCCACAAAGCAACTATATGATCAAAGAGAAGTTACTAACGTCTTAGTTGTAGGGCACTTAAGAAGTACTATAGTGTGGTAGTTAAAAGAGAATCAGCCCTGGAGTCAAATCAAGCGCGCGCGCGCGCATGCGTGCATGCGTGTGTGTAAAACAACCTTTCTGTTTCCTTTTCTGTATAATGGGAGATATAATCACACTCTTCCCATGGAGCTATGTAACGTATTAAGAACTAGGCCTGACATATAATAAGAACTCAATAAATGTTAGCCATCATTAAAAAAAGGAAAAAGAAAAACTGTACTAAAAATCACTGATCTCTTGTCCATAGTAAGGTTCTGAGAGTTAGAAATAAAGCTCAAATTAAAATATGAAACAGAAAGTTCTCACTCATACAAGAGGATGTTTTATATCTACAGGGGGCTAATCTTCATAGACAATTTAATAAAACACATTACAAGAAAAATATTTACTTTCATTTCCATATAAGGTGGGTCACGTTCCAGTTCTGCTTTGTCTATGGCCAATTTGGCTTTTCGTTCTTCAATAAATTCATCCAGATTATCAGTCATTATGCAGGTACTAAAAAAAAAAAAAAACTTCAGTGAGCACAACTATATCAAGTATTTTCAGACTAACAACATGCCAGCTTAGTACACATTTAGTATTTGATTTCACTTATCAAATTGTGAACTTCAAATGAGCTCTATCAAAATATGCCTCCTTCTTCCTCCCAATTTCCCCCCAAAACCTACAACATACTAAAAAAAAAAAAAATAGAAAAACAAAACATCCCCACCACCTCTATAACATACCAAAATAAAAAAAAAAAAAATCAAAGAAAACTGATTCTTAAGTAAAGCACCTTTTCTTGTTTGTTTTTTTTAACTATTTGGAGATAATCTCAAATTCCCAATAAAGCTACAACAATAAGAATAGTACCAAGAGCACCCAGGTACTCTAGGATTTCATACCACTTGCTTTATCCTTTCTGCACACAAGTTCATGCTCTCTTTACACACACACACACACACATACAAATTTTATTCTAAAATTATTCAGAGAAAGAATTACATGGATTATGACCCTTTACCCCCAAACACATCAGTGTATATTAAGAACTAAGCTATTCTCTTAAATAACCTCAATATAATTATCAACTTCAATAACACTGATTTTTTTAAATCTGATATCCATGTTTCAATTTTGTCAATTGACATAACAGTGTTCTTGATGCATATTTCTCTCTCTGAAGTTCAAGATCCAGTCTAGATTAGGTATTACACTTCATTCTTAGGTCTCTTTAGCTTTCTTTAATTTGGAACATTTTCACAACCTTCCTTTATCTTTTACAACATTGGTATTTTTTTAATACAGCCCACCTACTACCAATTTTTTAATAGAATATTCCTCATTTGGGGTTGGGCTCATGTTTCTTCATGACTGATTCAGGCTATGCATCCTCAGAAGACACTACTAAGTGGTGATGTGTCCTCAAGATGTCAACAATTAGAGATATTTTATCTGTCCTTCATTAGTATACTATTTTTCTACACCTTGTCAAGACAGTGTCAAGAAATTTCTGCATCATTCCCTTCTAACTACTAAGCAATATGCAGGGAGACACTTTTAGACCACGCAAACATCTTGTTCCTGATCATTTCCTTGATTTCCTTGTTCCTGATCATTTCCTCAATTGGTGATTCTAAATTGATCAGTATTTTTTTTCCAATAAACTCTGGAGTTGTTTTTAAATTTATAAGCGGTTGTTTCTATAGGGGAATAATTTATATACCATAAAATTCACTCACTTTAGTGAACAATTTCATAAGCTTAGTTTTCATACAGCTATGTAATTATCACAACAAATATACTTTATAATGCTTCCACTAAACCTTAAAAAGTTCCCTCATGCCCTTTTGTAACCTATCTTCATCCCCACCCCTAACTCAGGCAACCACCAATCTGTTTTGTCTATACACTCTTGCTTAATCTAGAAAGTTGATGTAAATTGATCATAATGTGATCAATTCTTCTGAATCTGACTTAGAACTAAACCAAAACATATTTTTGAGTCTCATCTTTGTAGTTTCATCTATCAATAAGTAAAGGTTTCTTTATTGCATGGAAATACTACTTTTTGTTTATTAACACACTGATGAACACTTAGGTTGTTTCTAGTTTGGAGCTATTTATGAATAATGCTGCTGTAAACATTCATGCACAGGTTTTTTGCATGTATACATGTTTTCAATTCTCTTCCATACATATGTAGGAATTCAAGTGCTGAGTATTATATAATTATGTTTAACATTTTGAGGAACTGCTGAACTACTCCTCTAAGTGCAAATTGACTACACATTTATGTACACAATGTACCACACATTCCAACCAACCATGTATGAGGACTGCAACTTCCACACAGCCTCACCAAAGCTTGGTATTTTCAGGTTTTTTTAAATCTTAAGTCATTATACTGGCTGTACAGTAGTATTTCATTATGGTTTTAATTTGTATTTCTCTAATGACTATGGTATTATCTTTTCATGTGCTTATTTGCCATTCACATGTTCATATCAATAGCCACTGGCAAAATAAGTATCTAATCAAATTGTCCACTTTTCAAGGCAGAAATCAGAGAAATCAAACACTGTACAAAAATAAACAATGATACATTTACTAAAAAAAAAATTTGTATCACTGAAGTTATAAGATTTCTTTAAATATACTTGATACAAGCCCTTTATCAAACAAGTTCTGTAAATTTTTTCTCCCAATCTGTGATCTATTTTTTTTTTTTTAAAGATTTATTTTTATTTATTTATTTATTTATACAAGCACTGGGTACAGTGAGAAGCCCGGGAGGGTGAGAGAATTCACCAGAGCCAGAGCGGGGAGCAGAGTAGGCAGAAGGACCGAGGCACACTGCTGAGGGGAGCAGCGGGCGGCAGGAGAGGTCTGCGCGCCATGTGGGACCCTCCTCCGGTGGCGGGGGAGCAGCCGGGGACCGAGGCACACTGCTGAGGGGAGCAGCGGGCGGCAGGAGAGGTCTGCGCGCCATGTGGGACCCTCCTCCGGTGGCGGGGGAGCAGCCGGGGATCGAACCGGCGCTGCAGAGGCTGCAGGCAGCCTCGCAACCCAGCGCTCAACCGCTGCGCCGCCGGGGAGGCCCTCTGTGATCGATTCTTAAGTTTTGTAATGTTCTCCTTTTTAAATAAACAATTTTTTTAGAGCAGTTTTAGACTGATTCACAGCCCAATTGGGCAAAAGGTACAAATTTCCTATATATCCCTTGCCTCCACTCATGCATTCCCCACCAAAGTCAAGTATTTTCTTCAGAGGTTTTACAGGTTTCTCTTGCATCTAAGTCTATGATCCATTTTGAGTTAATTTTTGCAAATGGTTTAAGGTAAGGGCCAAAGTTCAATTTTTTGGGGTATGGATATGAAATAATCCAGCACCATTTTTTGAAAAGATTATACTATCCTCGTTGAACCTACACTTGTCTTTAATGTTTTTCAAAAACCCATGAAACTTCACAATTAGATTTATGGAGGGAAAAAAGAAAAAGAAAATAGATTTATGATTAAAAAAAAAAAAGGAGATGATAACCAAAGGTTTAAGTTCTAGACTCTAAATGGACATGGAATTCTGGAGAGAAATAAATCAGAAGAAATTGGCTGATTTGGAAAGGTTTGATTATCTAAATTGCAGTAAATAAAACATGTTAACAGACATTTCATGGTAAAAATTAAAGACTCAAAGAAGAGGATTACATTAGTTATTTACTTAAAAATTAACTATTTTAAAGATAACAGTTGAAGCCATGACAAATGAACACCGACAAGAGTAGAGCCAGAATTTAAATGCTGGGCATTGCTTACTTGAGGGAACTGAAGCTGGGGTAAAAAAATACAAAGAAGGAAAAATTGAAAAATTTTTGTTTAATGTAATTTGTGGGGGGAAAGGAAACAAAATAAAACTAATAAACTGTATCAAATCCAAGAGAATTAAGGGAAAAAGTGTGCCCTAAAATAAATGTTTGGGAAGCATTAATTGGTGAAAGAAATATTACAGAAAAGCACCTCTGCCTTAAAAAAAAGGTTGGAAATTTAATTAGCACCTAATATGAACTTCATTATATTCTTCTTCTAAAAAGAACACTAATTTAAAGTATGATTTTAGCAAATTATATTCCAAACCAATAACAGTTAATATATTTTAATAATTTTTAATTGGCTAATTCTCACAAAAGGTTTTTCTTAGTAAAAATTAAAAACAACACCAGTTTTCATGTTTAAAAAATCACTTCTTAAAATTCCCTAATTTTCGGGCCTCCCTTGTGGCACAGGCGGCTTCACAGCCCCATGAAGCTGTGAAGCTGTCCACAGCCTCTGCAGAGTGGGTTCGATCTCATCCAGCCAGGGAGATACCCACATGGCACAGCAGACCCCTCCTGTCTCACCCACTGCTCCCTTCAGCAGTGTATTTCAGTCAGTCTGCCTGTTCTGCTCCCCACTCTATCTATGGTGAATCCTCTCATCTTCCCGCACATATGTATCCTGGTTCTTGTATGCATGAATAAATAAATCTTTGGGGAAAAAAATGACTTCTTCTAAAAAAAAAAAAAAAATCCCCTAATTTTCCTAAATATTTTATTTCTGATAGAAATGTATGATAGGATAACATACTTGCCATAGATAATACTTTTCAATCAAATTTTATATAAAAGTTAAGCAGAAATGCCATTAACCTTAAAAAAAAATCTTTTACTTTGAGTTAAAGTGTCCACATAATCTTGTTAACAATAACTAATTTAACTTGTTTACTTAGTTGTTTTAACGACTTTGAAAGGTATCTTTCTGGAATTTATAAACACTTAAATTTCCCTTTACTGCAATAATATCAACTACAAATTCTAGTATTGATTTTATATGACAATACCCCTAGTAATAAAACTTATCTTTAAACAATGGTAGTGAGTATAATATATGCTAGAGCTAAAACAAGGGACTTATCAAAGTGTATGTTTAACCATTTCTAATTTTGTTTTACTGACAAATCAGATTAAAATATTTTATTTTTTTTTTATAGAGGCATGTTTTATTTATTTATTTGTTTGTTTGTTTGTTTTGTTTATACATGCACTGGGTACAGTCAGAAGCGCGGGAGGGTGAGAGAATTCACCAGAGCCAGAGCGGGGAGCAGAGCAGGCAGAAGGACCGAAGTACACTGCTGAGGGGAGCAGCGGGCGGCAGGAGAGGTCTGCGCACCACGTGGGACCCTCCTCCGGTGGCCAGGGAGCAGCCAGGGAACAAACCGGCGCTGCAGAGGCCGCGGGCAGCTTCGCAACCCAGCGCTCAACCACTGCGCCACCGGGGAGGCCCAGATTAAAATATTTTAATAGTAAATTGATGAATCAATGATACTAATTAGTTTTCTCATGTCAATGCCCTCAGAACAAAACCATGAATTGGTTTTACTACACACTGCATTGAGGAATACAACCTCAGTGCTCATCATAGGGAACTCTGGATTATCTTAGTAAAAGAGTTTTAGAAGAAGATTTGGACTTATGTTAGGTGATTTAGGGGAAGGTTTAAGGAAGCAGAGCTTTACTCTGGATGCTATTAAGAAATGAGGATAATTCTATGCTTGGAGAGCTCTGGAAAGCTTATTTACAAGGTAAATAAGGAAACCTTATTTATAGAGTAATGCCAGAGCTGTAACTAGTAAAGAGACAGCAGCCTCTCAGATTAGCTGGGAGAGGGGATGTCTGGAATTTTGTGGCTTTGACAACATTTATGTTTTATTTATATATGGACATGATTTTGGAACAATATTGTTTTCCTCTTGATCCATCAGAGACACAGCAGTCTTGTCTGATGCTGACATTCTGTATAATTATTTATGTGCAACAATAAAACACCAAGCCTCAGCAGTCATGCCAGGGCAGTTCATAACAATACCAAGCCCTTGGTCATATTATCAGTCAATGTCTAACTGTCACAGCAAATGAACGCTTGCATAAAAATTATTTCAACTCCAAAATTATTCAACTACTTAGAGAAAGAACCGATATAACATAAACGCAAAATAGAATAAGAATGTTTATGTTAAGTTTATATCACAGTTAACATTAAGTTGTTAAGTTTATAACACAGTTCACTCCCCAGCTAGGTACCTAACCCATATGGCCCAGCAGACCTCTCCTATCTTGCCTGCTGCTCCCCTCAGCAGTACATTTCAGTAGATCTGCCTGTTCCTGCTCCCCACTCTGTCTCTGGTGAATCCTCTCACCCTCTGCACCTCTGACCTACACCCCAGTTCTTGTATGCATAAATAAATCTTTCTTTAAAAAAATGTATGGCACATCTGAAGTCAATAAACCACAGCTGTTTTATTAACTCTTAATTGGATTTTCATAGTCTTTATATACATCAATACAGTACTCATCTTTTTTCTCAAGCCTCCAAATAAAATACACTGAGATTTAAAACAATAATTGACATTTGGCTACCAAAATCCAAACCAACGTCTCTAAATCTTAAATTCAAGCCTTTTATGTTCATCATATAGACGAAACATAAAGCAAACCAGAACTCATTCTGATAAGCCTTTGCCAATTTAACAAACAGACCAGCAAGAAAGAACTGAGTATTGCCCAATTTCTTCTTCTAATTTCATCAACCACAAGGAGAGGTAAAATGGTGCTCCCATCCTTACCCCTCTGGAGAGGAGTGCAAATTTCCTTCCCACTATGAAAGCATGAGGAGTAAAAAATAACTCCCCTCCTAAAGACACTGTCTAGAAGTTAGGGGGATGCAAAGCATAAGATATGATTCATGACCTCAAATCTGAAGATAAGGCTCCCACCAGAGTGGCTAGGGATTGAACATGAAGTATCCATAAAGAATTCAGGGGCAGTACCAAGAAAACAACTTTAATGTGTATGAAATTCAGAATAGAGCTCAGGTGTGGGGAAACGTGTTTAGCAAGGTTGTTTTTTGTTTTTGTTTTTAATGATCACTAAAACTAAAGGAGAAAAGACTGCCTGGAAAAAGAAATCCTAGAGTAGGATCCTGTTTGGGATTGAGGACAGAATAGCAGGGTGTGATAACATATGGGGGTAGAGTTCCTAGAAGTGTGTGTGTCCTAGAACAGCTGGATTGAGGTGAACCAACACGTTTTTCATTTCTCATAAGATTATTTTTCAACAATTGACAGATACTCTTTTTCTTCTGGCATACAACACCCACATAAGCAAGTTATTTCCGTGGACTTCCAAACCTGCCCCCTAAATGTTGCTAAGAAGTAAGTACCAGATTGCTGGAAGAGGAGACTGGAATAGTGAAAATTTAAAAAGCACTATTAGGTGTATTAGCAAATGTTAATAACACATCAGTAATGAGGAGTAAGGGCAATAGCATATATTAGTCAGTTTTGGGGTTATTAGGCAAAATTGCCAAAACACTTGCTCAAACAACTCTTTCTCCCTCTGCAAAAAGCAATCAGAATGTAAGACTGACATTAAAAAGACAATTTAAAAACTGCTCAAAGTGTGTAATAGTGTGTAAATACAGTCTGAAAACTGTACTGGTATCTTCATGTTTCAAAATGTACCCTATCTAAAACCGGTACTCCCCTTCCAGAAGGTCATTTGTGGTATAAGAAACCCAAAAAAACTTCGTATCTGGGGAGCATTTATTTCAGCAGCTATTTAGTGTCCTCTGGTTTAAAAAAAAAAAAGAATTACATGCAGAAAAAAAGCATCTTACTGGTTTCCATGGCTTTTTTTTTTTTTTTTGCTTGTCAACATGACAAGTCATTCTTTCATTAGAAAAGCAGAACCTCTTTGAAGAGTGTCTTTTTCACAAACTCATTTTGGTTTTTCTGAGATGTTTGCAAACGAGGTGGTGGCTTAGAATTTATTCTTTCCGGAAATCTAAACTTAATACTACATTCTTGAAAATCAGCCTCCCTCAAAAGATAAAATTTCCTTTGCTAACACTTACTGAAACAGGATTCAAATCTCCTAGAAAAACTCTAAAATCGAGGCAGTCGAAAGAGGCTCAAACTCAAAAGACAAATACGATAATAGTAACCTCGCAGGGCTCTGATGATTAAATAAGTTTCACTTGCAAAGCAAGGCGCTGGGAACAGCGCGGGGCACACAAGCACTCACTAAACGTTAACCATTAGCCCGCAACGAGGAAAAGGAAAGGCGCTTCTGGAGGCTTAGCTCAGCAGCTGAGACCCCGCAGAGGTAGGGGGAGGGCGCGCAGGAAACCAGGCACAGCAGGTCTCCGGGCGCCGTGGGTGGCAGCCTCGTTACCAAGCGTCAACTGGTTGTTAAGCAACCGGGTCTCGACAGCACCCCAGGCGGCCGCAGCTGTTGCAGGTAGGGAGTCCAAACCGCGTAACCGGGGCATCGTCCCCGGGCCTGCCCAGCCGCGGCAAGACTCCTACCCCGAGGCACCTCAGCCCCCGGAAACCAGACACCGCCCCCAACCCGGCAGGGGAGACTCCAGCCCAAACCCCGAGGAACGCCCCCAGCCCGCAGCCGCGAGACCCCGGCCACGACCCCGTAACTGGGCACCGCCCCAGCCCGGCGGCCGCGAGACCCCACCTGGCAAGGAACTCCCGCCTCCAAGCCCCAGAATCCCAGCACCCCGCAGGCCGGCCAGCCGAGCCACCCCCTTCCCGGAGCCCCGGCCCCGGCCCGGGTCCGCGAGCCCGCAGTCCTGGGGCACCCTGCCCCCTCCACCCGTCAGGCCGCTCCCGGCTCGCCGCTGGCGGGCACTCACTCGGGGAGGCCGACTCGCGTCTCGGAGACACCCGGCGCCCCAGCGAGGCGCTTCGCGGGGGGACGAGGTCGCGGCGGCCGCTCGGCGCGGGAACTGTGTGACAAGTCAGCCGGCTTGAGCCCCGCCTCTCCGGCCGAGCCCTCCGCCCGCCCTAAGCCAACGGCCAAGCGCGCCCCGCCCCCACTACGGCCGCGGGGCCGGGGAGGAGGCCGCGCGCCCCAGGGCGCCCCCTGCTGCCCCGGAGGCCGCACAGGCGCTCAAGCCGTCCCCAAGGCTCGCCCTCATCCAGGCTGCGGACTCTGCAATCTGGTAGTGCCCTAGCTCGGCCTCCAGGCTAGTGTCAGTGTATCCTGGGAGCCACTTCGCAGGCTACGTCGACTCCAAACCCACCAAGCCCTCGCTGGCCTGAGAACGAAGTCAGAGCCTGGAAGGAGAAAAAGGGGAAGGGTAGCAGTGAGAGAAAAACTGTTGACACAACTTTCCGGACTATTTCTTCTCTCCCAGGAGACTGATTAACTTTTTGTCCAGGGCCTTTTACCAGTTTTAACGTATTCAGTTATGCATACCGAATGGCCACATGAAATCACTAGAGAAGGGTTCTATAACTTCCAAGGAGAGTGAAATTAAGAGTCCTTCGTCCTAAGTAACAGTCGATGAGGGTTTTTAAGGTAAAATTTCTTCAACTGGAAGGCACTATCAAAATCACAGGTGTGGAGGGGGGTTGGGGAGAAGTGTGATCTCGGTAATTCTAATGGTTTTAGAATTCTCCGTATTAGGGACTTAAGAATACGACTCAGAAGTGTACCCTGCACTCTGAACCTTACAGTGAAAAGAAGAATTTCTAAGTAAACAAATACATTATTACTGTGAGACTTAGCCACTATTCCTCCATCTTGTGTGTAACCGCCATCTTAGTATTTCAAGTTTTGCTTACTCAAGACTAATTAGCCTGCATTCCAAAGAGGGTTTATGACCCCCACCCCACTCTGGTCTTATCTCTGATGGCCAGCCACAGTGGAGCCGAGTAATGGGTCTAATTGGCCATAAAATAGAACCGAGCAATGCAGGCCACTGATGGGGTCAAACTAGCCATAAAATAACTGTGTACCCACCATTATTAAGAAATGCACCTGTGTAATCAATGAATGATGCACCTATGTAACTAATGAATGACTGCCAACATGATTTAATTTTTAGAAATCTACTTGTATCCCTATATAAGATCCCTGTCTCCTTTGTTCAGGGCTCCCGACCTCCACGGTTACATCAGTGCGTGTCGAGGGCCCGGCCTCGAGCCCGCAATAAACTCCTTTGTGTTCTTACAGCGGTTGTCTGTGTGTCCTTGGGGGCTGCACTGGTCGACGCTGGGCACAACAATTACAATGCAATAGCAGCTATAAAAGCACCTACAGACATCGTGGAAGTGTTACAGGGCAGCCCCGATATTGAACGGGTTGCCTGGCTGTGCGTCCTCACCTGCACGTTTACAAGGGACTTATTAATACTCCACTACCGGCATACACAAAAGGTTAATAAAAGGTTTATTTACAAGGGAAAAGGAAATAAGGAAAATGTACAACTCAGGGAGAAAATGGGGAAATAAAGTCTTTAATGTGTCCTACCAGATCCGCCGACCTGGAAACCCAAAAAGCACTTTCCGAGCTGGCCGGACGCTGTGAGCTGGCGGAGAGTCAAAATGGGGGAACCCCTCCAAAGCCCAAGTGTCTGGCTTTTATACTAACCTGGCTGCTTAACCCCACCCTCAGGTCCCAGCCACCTTCCCTTTGGTGGTGATGGGATTTGGAGTTCCCAGTGGCTTTGGCTTTGGCCTGGGGTGGGAGTGGAGTCCACGAAACCTGTATGGAATTAGCTTTAGGACATCCTTTCCCCCTAACAGAAGGAACGATTACTGGAGAGGGGAAGTTAAGAAAAATTTTGTGATAGAGATCTCTCAATTGTGTTTTTTTTTTTTTAAGATTTATTTACTTACTTTATTTATTTATACAAGCACTGGGTACAGTCATAAGTGCGGGAGGGTGAGAGAATTCACCAGAGCCAGAGCGGGGAGCAGAGCAGGCAGAAGGTCTGAAGCACACTGCTGAGGGGGGCAGCGGGCGGCAGGAAGGGTCTGCGCCATGTGGGACCCTCCTCCAGTGGCCGGGGAGCAACCGGGGATCGAACTGGCGCTGCAGAGGCTGCGGGCAGCTTCGCAACCCAGTGCTCAACTGCTGCGCCACCGGGGAGGCCCTCAATTGTGTTTTTAAGGATTAATATGAGCTCTCAGACAGAAAAGTCAGAGGAGAACATTTAGGCAATGCTAACCACATATGCAAAGCCAAAGGAAAAGTTTCAGAGTGACTAAAGGAAGATGAACCTGAGGTGGTATGTTGGGACCAAGTTATGAGACGCTGTCATGCTTTTTCCCTCCACCCAAAAAAAAAAAAAAAATCGTTGACGATCTAAGTTAGGTGTTAGCGATAAAACAAGGTGCACAAAACTGGATCTTAGAAGGTAGTGCAGAGCAGGGGAGAGTAGAAGGAAGAATGCATAAAACATTGTATTAACTATTTGAAGAAAACAAGCAGGTTGCTAAGATTAATTCCACCTTGGTGATAGAGATGATTTCACATAGCAATACTGAAGATTAAACTGCAAACTGTATTATAAGAACACTAATAGATCATATAGATGCTAATTCGTATAAACATGCCTAAAGCGAAGATTATAGCCCTCCACCAGCTTCCAAAGCCTTCACGCCCTCGGAAAGCAGAGTGTCAAACTACTGAGAGCCTGCAGGATTTGATAGCTGTGTAGTGAAATCACCTGGAAGTGAAACAGGAAGCCTTGTTTATCTTTCTCAATCAACACCCAGAACAACTCATGTGTCTGTTTTTTCTACACATTCTTACTTTCTAGGCTTTCGACAAACTTTTTGTTTAAATTTCACATAAAGCAAACTCCCACATTCCAATTTAATTAAGAATGTACCCAATTTCAAGCCAGAGAGGCCGAGCCTGCGCAGAACGAACAAAGAAGGCCAATTCCAGTTTCTGGCATAACAGTAACTTGACCTTCTTCCTGTACGGAAGGCTGTACCATTCCCACGCCCAGGCATTGTGTCTGTCCTACTTTACACACATAATATTCCAGGATAATATGTTCTCAGTCAGCCACAGGAAAATTCCTCTCACTGTATAATAAAACTGCTGTTTAAAACGTGGCGTTCCCGGAAAGCCCCGTCCACCCCCGAAAGGTCTGTACCAACTTCACATCCGGTGGTAGGTGTCATGGCTGCCTGTAGAGCCTAGTCCGAGTCTGCCCCTGTGGTGGGGAGGGTCAGCCGCTCACACCCGAAGCCGAGTGGGGTAGAGCTGCGTCTGGGCTGCGGAGGCGACAACTTCAACGACTCCTCGGCCATGGCAGCGTCCGGGAGTGGTATGGCTCAGAAAACCTGGGAATTGGCCAACAACATGCAGGAAGCCCAGAGTATCGATGAAATCTACAAATACGACAGAAAACAGCAGCAAGAAATCCTGGCGGCGAAGCCCTGGACTAAGGAGTGAGCAGGTCCCTGGCGAGATGCAGGGGGAGGGGTGGGGGATGTAGAGGGAGTTTATGGGACCCCGGGGAGTGGGAATTGAAGGATGTGCAGAGTTTATCTTTTTTCTTGGGCTGGGAAGAAAAGGAACAGCCTAAGAGATTTGGTCTGTCTTTTATCCCCTCAGGTAGAGCCTAAATCCACCCTTAACCCCGACTGCGGCTTGCTTTTACTCCCCTTTTTGTCTCTTTGAACCGTTTGCTTCCGGGGGATGGGCCATAACTAGCGGCGATTTGAAATGTCACTTCTCAGGATCCGTATTGTGTATGCCACATATACTGCCTTGAATTGTGTGGATCTACACTTGGTGTGGGGAGGTGTCAGCTGCTCCCCGACTGGAAATTGCAGCCGTTTTCAGAAACTGAGTCAGCCCAAAGGTGTCTAACTATGAACCATTTGGGACAGCTGTATCTTTTTTTGATTGCTAGTAGTTATTTCAGAGGCCCACCGAGACTCTACCCAAAATATTATAATAACAGTTCATGGAAGCTAGAAATTATATCAAGAGAGCCTAAGGCTCTTTGACCCTTAGCCAAATCCCTGTGCCTTTGACCCACAGTGTTGGTCCTTTCCTAAGAATAGATTTTGTTAGCGAGAGTGTAAACAGCATGATCTCTCTAATGGGTCAAAAGGAGAGTGATATCAACAGCAAAAACCATACTTCATCTGCCTCACAGCTTTTTATAAGGCACACTGTCAGTATTCTGATTCAGCACTGAGGTAGGACTTTCTATATTGTCTTCTAATCATCCTGATGAATTTTCATTTCTTTTTTGCAAATAAGATAACAAGCAAATACATTAACTTAGTTCATAATCACACTGAGACAATGAACTCTTCAGTGAGCACTAGTGAGAACTATATACCACATCTCACAAGTCACTAATTAGTTCATTGACTTTAGGAAATTTACACAATCCATCTTTTTTACAAATTAAGATATACTATATTATTTTTTAAAAATAAGAAATTTTAAAATCTTTACTATTTTAAACTTAACTAGTAGTTATTTCTTTTATATTATAGACAACTGGTTTGTTTTTCTTTATTGAAGCAACACTGATTTACAGCACTGTATATGATTACGGGAATAGGTTCACACATCCTCAGATAGGTGTTATCACACAGCCCTACATCAACGCACCCTAAACATTGGGCACCATCCCCTCTTTGTTTCCACCACCTCCCCTAATCGCCTCAATTCTGCAGTCATATTTCTAAGGTTTGTTTTAGTTTTGTATTCATCCTAGCTGTCTAGGGCCACATCAATGAGATGGAAAATGTAATTATCCAAGAGCAGCTTAATCACATAAACAGGTGACAAACTCTGAAATAGCAATCATAGTAGAATTAAGGTTGCATTTCTAAGTTTGAGGCTGATACTACAGAGAGAAGCTAAACCCTTTGAGAGTTCAATAAGAAAAGGTTAATAATGCTAGTAACAACTAGCACTTATTAATGTTTTAGAATGTGTGAGACACTAAGCTAAGCACTTAACATACATTATTTTATTTACATTATTTCCTCCTGACCACTCTGAAATGTCTCTGTTTACAGATAAGGAAACTAAGCTGCAAATATTAATTGGTTGCTTTAGGACTACAGATTGGCAGTGCAAGCATTCAAACCTAGCAAATGGATATCAGAGTTCATATTCTTAACCATTAAGCCAGACATTTAGGCCTAAGAGTCATCAGACACAGCCAGCCAAACAGACTCTGAATCAGAGATTTGATGATTACAAAATTAGTGGATAAAAAATCTGTTGAACTGGTCATGTAGTTATCTCCTTTCTATTTGAATAGCTATTAAAAATACTATTTCCTCTCTCCCAAGAGCAAATACTTGACAGCACTATGACATGTTTAGTATTTCCAGCCTCCTGTAAAACTCCCCTCTCTACTTCCTTTTTCTTTCCCAAATTCTATAGTCTTTCTCCCCTGTCCCCCCACCTTGCTCTGCCCCATCACTGTAAATCAATTCTTTTCCATTATCTTCACAAAAACTATCTTTTGTTATGCATTTTATATTAGAATGTTAATTATACTACACTTTTGTTTTGTAGTCACCATTACTTTAAGTACTGCAAAATCTCAGCATTGGCTCTACTGAAAATGGTGATGCATGCCAGATCTGGAGGCAACTTGGAAGTAATGGGCTTGATGCTGGGAAAGGTGGATGGTGAAACCATGATCATTATGGACAGTTTTGCTTTGCCTGTAGAGGGCACTGAAACCCGAGTAAATGCTCAGGCTGCTGCATATGAGTACATGGCTGCATATATAGAAAACGCCAAACAGGTAAAAATGTTCCTTAAAATTTAGTAACAGTGGGTTAGGAGTCTCATTGTGACCTATGGGTTTCTAAACTTAAAGCTATCCTCTTTACATTAAAGTTTATAATTTAAGATATTACAGTGATTTCTATAGCAGCACAGGCTCTTTTTTTTTAATACTCTGAAGAGTGATATCACAAGAAAAAAATTTTTAACTGGTAGTCATTTTGTAATATATACATATACCAAATCATTGTGTTAGTACACTTTAATATGCTATATGTCAATTATACCTGAATTTAAAAGATTAACAAAAAAAGTATCACATTCATTATCAGATATGTAGTTAAAACCAAAAGCTTGGAAACGAACTAAATATTCCTGAATATAAAAGTGATTAAATAAACTATAATATACAGGTTTCATGCACTATTCCAAAAGTAGAATTGAATGTGGGAATATTTAAAAAATTTTCAATATAAATTATAGGTGATGGTGTTCCCAGACCCTCAAAAAAACCTGTTAAATCATACCAAATGGAAACATTCTACTTTTAGGTAGTGGGGAAACCTGTATCCATACACTAAACAGCTAGCCAAATTTAAAATAAAATTTTAAAAGTAATTAATATTTTTATAGAACAAAACTCAGAATATTTTCTGGTATAGAAAAGCAAACTGTAAGATACATGTGACATGCCATTATTTCTGATCTTATCTAGTTATATGTAAAAAACTATTCAAAATATAGTTTTAACTTGAAAGCAGCATATACTATAATCTATTCTGCATACTATTCTTTTACCATAAATAGAAAATGACAAATATTTCTAAGATTAAACAAGAACCTCAAGTTCCTTTGTCCTCTTTATGTGTTAGGTTGGCCGCCTTGAAAATGCAATTGGCTGGTATCATAGCCATCCTGGCTATGGTTGCTGGCTTTCTGGGATTGATGTTAGTACTCAGATGCTCAATCAGCAGTTCCAGGAACCATTCGTAGCAGTGGTAGTAAGTATTATTATAGCCAGTTTTAATTAAGTTCTTTATGAAGATTTACTAAAATAAGTATACAAGAGATAAACAATGTGGTAAAGAACATAGCTGTGGTATTAGTCTGAATTTGAAATATAGGTCTGAATTTGAAATATATATACATATTTAAAGATTTATTTATTTATGCATACAAGAGCTGGGGTACAGGCCAGAGGCTGAAGGGTGGGAGGAGGGTTAGAGGATTCACCAGAAACAGAATGGGGAACAGATTGATTGAAATACACAGCTAAGGGGAGCAGTGGGCGAGACAGGAGAGGTCTGCTGCACCATGTGGGTCACCTCTCTGGCTAGGGATCGAACTCGTGCTGCAGTGGCTACAGATAGCTTCATAGTGCTGGGACTTAACCCCTTGCACCACCAGGGAGGCCCCAGCCTAGGTCTGAATTTGAATTCCATCTCCTAGAAGCTGGGACTTTGAACAAGTTACTTCTCTGCATCTAGTCCCTCAGTCTGGAAAATGAAGTGATCACAATATCTATAACTCTGTTCCCTGTACATAGAGGCATTTAGTCAACAATGACTGAATTGAGTGAGTCAAGAATTACTAGAGCAGCTCTTGTTGTGCTCAGAGTGTTTTAGATGCAATTTAGGTTAATTAAGGGGAAGGTAGAAATTGTTCATATATTAAAATGAAAAAATAAAACTTTTGGAAGAAAGATGAACACACATATAATATTCTTAAATGGTATAATAAGTAAATATAACCTCTAAATTATGAGCTATTTCTATACTTACCCATTTTAATGATATTTTATAGTTTTTAGTTTGGTTATTTTATTTCTTAGAATTTGGTTATTGTGTATATGTATAGTGGTATGTATATATGTATTTACAAGTTTATAATATTTAAATGACAGTATATAAGGATTTTATAATCAGCACCTATTAAATACATGTTTCTTGTAGATTGATCCAACAAGAACAATATCTGCAGGTAAAGTCAATCTTGGAGCCTTTAGGACATACCCAAAGGTAATTTTTCAAGTTATAAAAGTTCTTACAATTTTTAAATATTTGATATATTTTTAAAGATGTGTTAGCATTGGTATCTCATTTTGTCCTAAGACAAGTAATATTTACAAAATCCCCAAACTACTTCAAATTATCCTTAGCAAAAGACAAAATATTTGAGTTAGATGTTGTTAATTTTACTAGAAAGGCAGTCCTCATTTGTTAATAAGATTCTGTATGCTTATGACATTCTGATGGTACTAGAGAAATGAGCTAAATAAATCTATTTTTTTTAGCTGGGGCGAGAATCAACAATAGATATTTGTCTTCAATATTTAGCTTCCTAAAATTAATGTTCAATAGAACACCACATAGAAAACATGCTTTCCCTCTTTTGTTTATCTTCTGTGTTCTTCATTTTTGTTTAGGGCTATAAACCTCCTGATGAAGGACCTTCTGAGTACCAGACTATTCCACTTAATAAAATAGAAGACTTTGGTGTACACTGCAAACAGTAAGTAATTTTAAAATGTATCTAATACTGAAATCATCATAAGAAACCTCAGGGATTATCTACAGTCTATCTAAGCCCCTACTTTTACAGATGAGAAAAAAGACTCTGACAAAATGCATTCCATAATACCTTTTTAAATAATAATAAGAATATACACATTTAGGATAATGTTCAAATTTTTCATTAAAAGTTCTAATCTGGGGCCTCCCTGATGACGCAAGGGATTAAGCACTGCACTATGAAGCAATCCACAGCCTCTGCAGCACAAGTTTGATCCCTGGCCAGCCAGGGAGCAACCCACATTGTGAGGCAGAGCTCTCCTGTCTCGCCCACTGCTCCCCTCAGCAGTGTATTTCGGCCCGTCTGCCTGTTCTGCTCCCAGCTCTGTCTCTGGTGAATCCTCTCACCCTCCCACGACTCTGGCCTGTGCCCCAGCTCTTGTATAAATAAAATAAATCTTTAAAATAAATCAATTAATTATTTAACTAAATTAAATGATTAATTAATTTTTAAAGTGTTAAGAAACCAACGAATATAATTTTTCTACCTTCTGAATATATCTTGCCATCTCTCTTATTATCACTTTGACCCAGGCCACCAGCATCTGGAGCCTGAACCAAAACACTAGCCTTCTAACAAGTTTTTCTGCTCTCTCTTTCACTACCCACTTAGAGGTCTCATTAATACAGTATTTAATTGTCTTTCCCCTGAGCTGAGCACCTTTCCCAGGCTGCCTGAGGGGGTACAGGAAAAGGTGCAAGGCAGACAAGACATGGAGAAAGGACTGTGGGAAGTGGAAATGGCTCCTTCACATGACAAAAAGGATGAGAAAAACTACTATCAGGCAAGAGAGCCCCTTGGCCTCTGAGAGAGCAAAGCCTAGAGTGGTGTAGGAGAATAGCTGTGGCTTCAGAGAAGGGTTCCTGGCATAACCAATGATGAGGCTCACAAACACAGAGCCAATTCCAGCCCCAGAGCCAGCCACCCCTACTGTGGCAGCCCCAGTCCTTATGAATATGGCTGCTGTGTTGATGTCCCTTGAAATGGTGTTGGTTTGGAAGCTTCGCCTCGAAATACATGGATTTTCTAGGAATAAGTCAATGTTCAGTGGACTCATGGCTGCCAAGTTGCCAAGGCTCTCATTTGTCACGCTCTCTGGTGGTTTCAGCACCACAGGAGGTGATCTCAGCAGCTGAGAGGTCCTCCTGACCAAGTCAGGGGAGGCATCCATTTTCAGGGGTAAGACAAGCTATTTCCAGTGCAGGAAAGACAGAAAGGGGACCCTCTTAAAGATCTTTTGTATAGCCATATTGATTCTATTAAAATGTAAGTCAGATCATGTTGTTCATCAGAGAACGACATCCCATCTCACCACTAATAAGATACATAATCCTTATCATGAACTACACAAATCTATCTGATCAGACTTCTACCAATTCTTTGATTTCATCTGCTATTACTGAATCTTTAATAGAGCCAATCCAGGCATACCAACCTCCTTAAGGTCTGTCGGTGTGCCATGTAAGCTCTTGCTTTAGGGCCTTTGCACTAGCTCTTTCCTCTGTCCAAAACACTCTTCCTTATTTCCACTACCTACTTCTAACATTGAGTGTATATTTAAGGGTCACTTTAACAGAGAATGTTCTGTGGCCACTAAAATCTAAAATAGCACCTTCATGTCATTCTGGTTTCTTTCCCCACTTTATTTTACTTCTTAGTGTTTGTCACTATCTGATATATTTTTGCTTCTTGTTTTTGGTCCAACTAGAATGTTGAACTTCATGAGAACAGAATTAATAAGCTGCTGTATGCTAACATGTAAAACATGCATGGAACAAAAAAGGATGGGTACCTCAAAAAATACGAATAACAATATCTCATGGTCCTTTTTCTCCATACCTCCTATTCCAGCTTCAAATATCTTGATTATCCTTGTGCTACTATTGCTCTTTTTTTATTCCAAATTTTCTAATACTAGGTTTTTAAGTATATCTAGTTTACAGTTATTCCTGACATAGTTCTGGAAAAAAGGATTCTGTTTAATTGTTCATTTAGAGGCTTGGCATCATTTATTTGCCTTACTCAAAAGAATCTAACCATTTCTGTTTAAGAGAATTGATCCTAAGCAAGGAAACACAAGACTGTGGTACTTTTATTTTCAGTGTAATAGACAATTTTTTTCATTTATATTGAGTTATAGTGCTATGAAAAGATTATACCTTCAACACCTACTCTACCTTTTTTACCACCACCAGCAGCTTTTGAAACAAGAAGACTAAGTCGACCAGCTATGTATTCTGTAACCAAAGAAATTTACCTTTTTTCTTACATCTATCACTATGCCTTCTTAAATATCTGTGCTCTGAATGTAAAAATAAAGACTGAGGCTTTTTATATTAACTGTTCATATCCGTTCTCTGTTACATGCTAGCTATGTGGCTTTGATCAAGGTCTTCACTGTCTGAATCTGTTTTCTGTCTGTAGAATGTGTACAGTCCTTCCTTGCATAACTGTAGGTAAAAAAGTCTCTTGTGTTGCTTTGTATCCAATGAGGTGCAAAACCTAGTGAGACTTTTTAATATGTATTACTTAAATATATATTTTTCAGACATTTACCAATTTGCTATCCCTTATTATTAGGTACCATTGGAGGTGGTAATGATATTATTTGGTACTTTAAGAACCTACTTTAAAGTTTGCTTTTCCAAAAAGCAGTAGGTCCTAATTAAGGAATTAGAAAGGGAGGAATGGGAAATCCACATGTCATTTTCAATATTTCAAAAAGCCTGACAGAAATTATAGTTGACTTTAGAGATGTTGCTCATTAAGTATAAGTGTCATTGGCTGGAATTATGAACTCAAAAACATGAATAAATATTCAGAAGTTCTGACTAGTTGGTAACTTCTTGGGAATTTCTGGGCTCTACCGAGAGAAGAAATATAACACAAAAAAGTTTAATAAACAGGCTTGAAGAGTAAGGAGACCTATTATTCTGTTGGATTCATGGTTACCTATTATTCTGTTGGACTTAAAACTAAAACATGGGGCCTCCCTGGTGGCGCAAGGGGTTATGATGCAATCTATGAAGCTATCTGCAGCATGGGTTCGATCCCCGGCCAGCCAGGGAGCAACCCACATGGCGCAGCAGACCTCTCCTGTCTTGCCCACTGCCCACCTCAGCAGTGTATTTCTGTCAATCTGCCTGTTCTGCTCCCCACTCTGTGTCTGGTGAATCCTCTCACCCCCTTCACCTCTGGCCTATACCCCAGCTCTTATATGCATGAATAAATCTTTTTTTAAAAAATACAACAGATGGGGCCTCCCCGGTGGCGCAGCGGTTGAGCGCTGGGTTGCCAGGCTGCCTGCAGCCTCTGCAGCGCCGGTTCAATCCCCAGCCACTGGCAAGGATCCCACATGGCGCGCAGACCTCTCCTGCCGCCCGCTGCTCCCCTCAGCAGTGTACTTCGGTCCTTCTGCCTGTTCTGCTCCCTGCTCTGGCTCTGGTGAATTCTCTCACCCTCCTGCGCTTCTGACTGTACCCAGTGCTTGTATAAATAAATAAACTAACAAAAAAAGATTTTAAAAAAAAAAACTAAAACATGACTATTTGGATATAAAATGTAACTCACTTAAATTTAGCTATAACTTATATGATGTGGTTGAAATTTTTCTTTTTTTGCTTACTAAATATATGCTTTTGTTTCATAGATACTATGCCTTAGAAGTATCATATTTCAAATCTTCCTTGGATCGCAAATTACTTGAACTTTTATGGAATAAATACTGGGTGAATACGCTGAGTTCCTCTAGCTTGCTTACTGTAAGTACTGTAAGGAATGCTTCTGAAATTTTTTCTAAACTGTATAAGTTATTTAATACCTGCAACTCTTTTTCATGGAAAGGCTATGCCTAACTTGGCCAGGAAATCAGGGCTAAAGTCAGAGTCTGCCTGATCATAGCTAAATTGGAATATTAGGCCAATCTAAGAGACTAGATGGCAAAAGAAGGTCTAGATGGCAAAAGAAATGACTAGATGAAAGTGAGATCTGTGTGTGCTTAAAGAGACTTTCAGTGGAAAAAATACAAATTTTTTTTGTTGTGTCAGGTATCTCAGGCTCCTGATTACAAGTAGCAGGAGACCCAACCAAACTAGCTTAAACAAGAAAAAGAAATCATGTCAACTGCAAAATCCAGATGTAGGCTTTACTTTAGGCAGAGCTAAGTTTGCATTTGAACAATATTATGAGGTCTTGGTCTTTCTCCTTAACCTTTGATTTCATGTTGGCTTTAGTTTCAGGCTTCATGTGAAAGCAATGTAGCAGCATTAGCTTCTAACTGCTTAGTTGTAATTAATATTGCTTAATTTCATTGTAATTCTATAACTGTTTCTGTTATTCTACATTTTTATGTTTTGAATAGCCAAATCTTCCAATTGTAAAGTAGTCTGTAAATCTTAGGATTTTTTTTCTAAGTGTAAGAGTATCAATTGATATCCTAAACCAGTTAGATCCAGACAAAGTGAATATAATTGTATTTTTTAAAAACCTAAGTTTAGGTTAAGTTTATTTAAGTTAAGTTTATTTAAAAAAATAAAAATTTTAAAATCATTAGAAGAGCTGGTAGCATTTTAAAGGACCTTCTCTAGTAATTTTGACTTCCAATAACTTGTTACGTTTGTTGGTTGAACTGTTTTTTCTGCACACTGTCTTATAAATTGATCACATAAAATAACATACTAGTTGTTACCAAGTTATTTATTTAATCTTCACTCTTTTAAAGATGTAGCAAAGAAGTAAAATATTTTTAAAAGGTACCTCACAAAAAATGTTTTAATAAGTCAAAAGAAGAAAGACAAATATATGAAATAAAAGGAAACAAAACAAAGATCAGATAAAACTATATCTTAGAAGTAACACACCCTAGAAATCTGACTGTAGAATTGAGGCCTCCAGAGGAATGAGAGAAAGGCAAGCCAAGTAGAAAGGGGGCCCAGCGGGCTATGGTGAAGGGCTACTGGTGTCTGGTGGTAGGTGTAGTATGGTAATATACCTGACGGGTGCGGTTTTATACCTCTAAATCTTATACATTGTTGTGAACCAATATTACTGTTAAGTGCACATACGTAATATTAAAATTTTTCTTTTCAAAAAGTATGAAATATTAAAGGACAAAATAGTATATATAATATTCCAGTTTATCAAATGTGAACATAACACAATACAGTATTCTTAAATATAACTGGTTATAGCTAGGTGGAAGGATATAAGTCTTTCCTTCTTTATATTGCTCAACATTTTCTAAATTTTTTGCAGTAACTATTAGTTTTATAGACAAAAAAGCTAAAACAAATGTTAATTTTTAAATGTCCTAAAACTGATTTTGGAAGTTCAAATAGAACAAATAACATGAGTAGCTAATAATTATTAAACTTTTGCTAGGTGCAATGGACAGTCAGAAGAATTTTGTGTATGTTACTAATTTAATCTTCACAGTAACCTCAGAAGAGGACCTGTAGTCACAGAAAAGTAAAAACTTTCCCATGCCCCCCAACAATTCTGCAAGAGGGCCAGAATCTGAACTCAGAGCTGTATACTTCAAAGCCTCTCAGAATAATCATTATTAGATTTGAGCAGTCCAAAAGAAAAATTCCAAATTTAACCTTGAAATTATAAATGAATGGCTTGTTTTGTAATCAGTTTTTACAAGTATAATTTGACTTCTTCACTGACTCTTCAATTAAATTTCATAATGGAATTCTCTGTAAATGAAATGTTCTATTTAGAGAAGAAAGGTAATTTACATAAATTACAGTTACATGTATATATAATTTCTATTGCTAATATTATTTTTAATGATAGATTTGTATTATGTACTGACATAATACTATTTTCCCCAAAGAACGCAGATTATACCACTGGTCAGGTCTTTGATTTGTCCGAAAAGTTAGAGCAATCAGAAGCACAGCTGGGGCGAGGAAGTTTCATGTTGGGTTTAGAAACACATGACCGAAAATCAGAAGACAAACTTGCCAAAGCTACACGAGACAGGTAAGAGCAAACCTTTTTTTCGGCCTCTTAACTTTTCTTGTTTCATTATTTGCAAATAAACAGTAGGATTCAAGTTCCTTTTGGTTCAACTAACTTCTAGCTTAGAAAGGCACTTGAATATTAACTTCTTGGGAACTTTAAGAGTTTTCAGATGCAGATTTTAATGTTGAGAATTTAGAAGATGTTAGATAAAAGTATTAAAGACTTAAAGGTCCAGGTAATGTTATGAGACACTCCTGGTTGCTGTTTTGAGGTTTACTCAGAAGTGAAACAAAGAAAGAAAACCAGTCCATCACTGTATCTGTTTAAAAAAAAAAAAGGCTCCTTAACCTATTTTAATTATCTTCTGAGAAATTAGAATAAGATTTATAAATTCTTTTAAATTTTTATTTTTTTAAACTCCTAAATACCACAGAAATTACTGTATCTCTCTTATTCTTCTTAAAGTATCCTTTAGACAGTAGTTTCCAAAGTTTTAATATCAAGAATTTGGTAGGAACAAACTTATTGGATATGTTCCCTGATAATTTATGAAATAACTAAGTGACCCTCAGTTTTATACAGAATTGGGAAGAATAATAACATATAATTCCACAAAAATTTGAATTTTAATGTAATCATTGGGGCAGAGGGGAAGGGGTTAACTAGATTGACATCTATAAAGTGATACCTTGTTATCCATTTTAAGAAAAACTGGATTGGTCAATAAGAAAGAGAAGGGAGATGGAAAGGTAAAGTATATTAGGAGCAGACGCCATCTTCGGTTAAAATTACCTCATTCTTTTCTTCTTCATAGATTTTTAAAAGGTAGAGCTAGTGGCCTGCATAAAAATTACATCTTTGTCTCATTTTTGATACTTGCTCTGGAATGTGTAGTTTTGCTCATCTGTCTTTGTATGGTTTTGATTTGTTTTATCTACATTTACATCTCAATTTCTCAGCATGCAAAATTTTCACTAACAAATGTCTAATTAAATAAGAAAAGTAGGAAGGATAGCAGTAGTAATACAAACAGAATATTCCTTTTTTAGCTAACTTTACAAGAACTACAATTCCTCTGAATATTGACGAGTTTTTATTGTTTTTTGCTTTTTACTTTTTCTCAATTCTAAAATTTAAGTCTTTTACCCACTAACCTAACTTTGACTTTTAACTGTTTAAAGGATTTTTGTGATTTCAGGGGTTGGGGAGGGATTTTTAAATTATGTTTTAATTATTCCGATTAATGACAAGAGAACAGATGTTAATGTTTTTGAATCCATCTGTAATTAAGAATTATATATCATTTCAGTCACTTACTAAGAACTTTTCCAAAAACTACTGACAGGCAACATAATTAACTGTCATGAGTTTGAATTATATCAAAATTTACATTGTCATCTTCTTGTAAAGCGGCTAGTAAGAAGCAAAATGGTCAAAAGACATGCCAAAGGCTAAGAATCAAAAGACTATAAGTTGGTGCAGTTTAGGGAGTATAAATAGAACCAAAAATTCATTATTTGGGTGCAAGGATGGAAATGAAAAGAACTTACATGTTTGAAACAATTTTCAGTTCTTGTGACATTATGTGATGTTTTTCCTTTCCAGCTGTAAAACTACCATAGAAGCCATCCATGGATTGATGTCTCAGGTTATTAAGGATAAACTGTTTAATCAAATTAATATCTCTTAAATAATCATTTCATACTGAAAACTAGCATGAGAAAAACACCCAAGTTACAAGTCTGTTTAAAAGTGTAAGGTGCTCTGAAGTGTACTGAATATTAACTTCCTGTAATAAAACTCTTTAAAATGAAATTGTTCTTTCATTGGTTTGTGGGAAGGATTTATTTATCTTTCTGGTATCCTTTAATGTTCTGCAATAGGAGGAAAAGACCCTTTCTATTTTTTTTCCCCAAGACTCCTACCTAATTCAGTCAAAAAAGTTTAACATTTCGGGCCTCCCCTAGTGGCGCAGGCGGTTGAGTGCAGCACTGTGAGGCTGTCCGCAGCCTCTGCAGCGCCTTTTAGATCCCAGGCGGCCAGCGAGGGTCCCTCATGGCGTGGCATACCTCTCCTGCCCCGCCCGCTGCTCCCCTCAGCAGTGTATTTCATCAATCTGCCTGTTCTATTCCCTGCTCTGTCTCTGGTGAATCGTCTCACCCTCCCGTGCATCTGGCCTGTACCACAGTTCTTGTATAAATAAATGAATAAATCTTAAAAAAAAAAAAGTTTAACGTTTCACTTGCCACACTGATTGTCAAGGTCACTTTTCAGTTTTATTATACATTCTTTGGATAACCCACTAGTAAAACTGTAACAGAACAATTTTAGAATAACATTGATCAAATCATGCCATAAATTGTTTTCCTGAGAATCAAATAATTTATACAGGAGAGCACCTAGTACAGGTACCTAGTCTTTCAAATGTTCACCAAGCACCTTTACTGAACTAGGACCAATTTTATTTATGTTGAACAAGCTAGACATGACCACTTAATCATGAAAATTAAGCTAGTTAACAAGAACCTCAGTGTACTGCTATGAAGACAGAAATAAGTGTGCTGGGGAACTCTTGGGAGGAGCACCTACCCAGAGGGGACTTACCCAGGTAAGCTTCCTTAAGGCAGTAACCTGATACTATGCTGAAAAAGCATATTGGGAAGATGATTACTTTTACAGGCGGAAGCTACATCAGAGTATGGGAGAACACAGGTAGAGAGCAAGGGCCTAGACTTGAAGGGGTTGAGTAAGGGTGTAGGGAGTGGCAGATGAGTTTTAACAAGATGAGGGTAGATCCTATAGGAGCTTTTGGACTTCATCCTAGCAGCAATGAGGTATTAAGGAGTATTAAGCAGCAGAAATATATTAGATCAATGTTCTCAGAGCACTGTCTAAGAGATTTGGGGTGAGAGCTGGATACAAACAGATAAAATGATCTATAGATAATAGTAAAAAGACAGATCTTGATCAAATTTTAAAATGGGTAGAGGAAGAAACGAGTTAAACAGGTAAGAAAATTTTAAGAAATGATTTACCAATGATTTCACATGCTACCAAGGTCAAGGAAAACAGACCTAGAAGTTTCCTCAAGTAAGATTTGTCAATAAGAGTCTTTTGTAAAATGAGAAAGCCAATTAACATTGATATCCAAATACTCTGAGACGGCTGATAATGTATTTGCATGTTTTAAAATAAAAACAGGCACCCCCCCACCCCCCAATTTCAGTTGACAACTTGATTTTTTTTTTTTTTTTTTTTTTTTTGGTGGGACCCTCGCCGGCAGCTGGGGAACGAACAGGCGCTGCAGAGGCTGCAGGCAGCCTCACAGCCCAGCACTCAACCACTGCTCCACCAGGGGAGGCCCGATCTTCGTTTTTTTATGCCCTTTAAAGAAAAAATAATGACTGTCCCCATCAAGCAACTAAAATCGGTATTTATTGCCACAACCTTCAGTAACACCAACACTATACTGAGTCATTCAACTAGGGGTTTTAAGACGATGGTTGAGGGCCTCCCCGGTGGTGCAGCGGTTGAGCGCTGGGTTGCGAAGCTGCCCGCAGCCTCTCAGCGCAGGTTCAATCCCCGGCTGCTCCCCTGCCACTGGAGGAGTGTCCCGCATGGCGCGCAGACCTCTCCTGCCGCCCGCTGCTCCCCTCAGCAGTGTACTTCGGTCCTTCTGCCTGCTCTGCTCCCCGCTCTGGCTCTGGTGAATTCTCTCACCCTCCCGCGCTTCTGACTGTACCCAATGCTTGTATAAATAAATAAAAAATAAATCTTGGGAAAAAAAAAAAAAAAAAAAGATGATGGTTGAGATTTCTCTGAAAGACATGACTGAAGGTTTTGGCATAAAGGAGTAATTAAATTCACCATGAAATCATACTAGCAGTTTTCATTCTCAGATTGAATACTGTTAGTCATATGTGATGGTCAATTAAGACATCTTGGTAAAGTAGAAAATGCTTATGTGAACAACAGAATTACTAGAAAAAGTAAACTTTTCAGTCTTGACATCATTAGACTCATGCTGAGAAGTCCCAGTATTTTAGTCTTGATGCCTTGCTTGGAAGTAACAAGAAAAAGCTGCTTAAACAATTTGTTGGCTTCTCTAATTCCAGAGGAGCCAAAATCAGATTTGGCTAAGGCATAGACAGATTAGGCTTCCAGTTAGATTAGGTTCTCAGCTCTGCCATCCATATGTTGACCTAAACCTCAAGCTTATTTCCCCAAACTGGCTACACACCTATACCATCCAATTAGGAGGAAAGAGTTTTGCATTGATTGTTGGAATAAGGTTCTGATTTCATTCTGGTCTAAATTGGTACACCACCCCAATCCTAGGATTATATCTAGCAACTGATTTCAATCAATTAAGGACCACCCATGGAGTGGGGAGTGGGTCAATAACATCCAAAATGCGTGACTTCTACAGATTGAAAGCTAAATGGAAGGTACATAGTCAACTGAAAATGTCCCCTCTACTCAGCAGTCCAGCTTAGGCAAAAATAGTCCTGAAAAGGATTATTTATGTTTTAAGTATAGTGACTTTATTAAGAAATCAAAATCTTTACAAATATTTTTAAGGTACATCTTTACATTTTAATGTATTGTCATGATCACTTTTTGTGTAAGTGCTCTAATTTATAATATTGAGTTTTTAGGAAATCAGGTTTCATTTTGCAAGCACCGTTCAGAAACTAGGTCATGAATTGGAGTAGTCTTTTCCAGCAAAGTATTATTTTACAGCATTGAGCTGTTCAGGAGCTGAAAAGGCCATTTTCTAAGTGGTCTGTTTTTTGTTCCATTTCAAATTTTTTCAGATAATTCCTCAAGCTCTCTGGTGATAATATACAGGAAATGTCAGTCATCATCAAAAACTTAATCCCAATGTTCAAGGAGTAAAACTGAAGCCAGAGTAAAAATAGAATCACAGGCTCACACAGCTATGGAGACTTAGTAGATAGGGAACGAGGATTGGGACAAGTTAAGGAAATAGTAAGAACCCAAAATCAAGGGTGTTCCAAATTTTCCAGATTGATTTAATATAAAAGCCTGCAGTCAGTTCAATAATATTCACAACTATATTATTGAGAATTTATGCATTTAGTATCATGTTTAGGTGGCATTGCCCAGTTACATGAGTATTTTATTCTATATGTTTTACTGATTAAAAATAAGACAAAAGTTATTTTAAAATCAGTAATAATGCCAAGAACAAAGAGCAAACAGCGGAAGAAAAACCATTTGTGCTCCATTGTTTCTGAATTTCAAAACATGCTTTGAAAGCAAACATGTGGTCTGTGTGAGGAATCAAGTCTAAAGATTGTTGTCACAAATTAGTATGATTGTGTGGCATCCAGGATTTTAAAAAATCACTGCACTGCACAATAGAATAATAAACTACCCAATAGCGCAGCCACTTGAAAATAAACAAAGAAGAAAATGAACATAAGTAACTTTAAAATGAATTGGAGAAACTGTGAGTTGGAGTGCTGCATACTGCAGAGATTCAAAGTTTCCAAAAATGGTTTTGTGAGTGATGAGGTACAGATGCATAAGTCATGCACGCAGAGAAGAGTTCATTTATACTGCTAAGTCTGCACTGTATCCACATGTAGCTGAATAAACTGAACACAGACTGCTGAGTTTCCAAGGTTTCTTTTTATATTTCTGGATTGTTTTAAATAAACGCCAAAGACATATATCATAAAAATCAGTAAGCAATGTGGGTGTTTTTTTATTTTTTGAAGATAGGAAAATTACTACACAGAACAACAGTTATTTTTGCTCATCCTTACAATATAAAAGATCATTATATTCAAACTATGATGAGGGATTTTTCTATTCATTGTTTAGTAATTGGTGTATCTATGCCATCGTGTTTGCAAAATATTACTTTCAAAATTGAAAATATAATCTTGTGAATATTTATGTTGGCTTATTTTCAATACAAGTTCCGACAGCAAATAAATTTACCTTCATGGGACCACAATGCTACTATAAGGATTTCAAGTAAATTCTGGGGTAGTCAGTCTAGTAAGTTTCTAAAAGTTTCTAAACTTTTTAACCAAATATTAGTGGAAAAAGTATCATCCATCTTTTTTAGTATAAAGTTATGATCTACTTATTCTAGAAAACTAATATATTAAACTCAGGTCAACAATAACCAGATTGACATACTTAAACTTTTGATCTCAGAAATCAGAATATAACAAAAGTAAAGGAACTCTGTCATTTTAGGTCAAATTTGGAGGAAACAGCTAAAGTCATAGTTTGATAACTAACACCAATGATTAATTGCTTTTTCAACATGTAGATTATCTTGATGCCAAAATTATGGAACAATTGCATAACAAATTAGAGAGTCCCTGGTGTCAGTACTCATATTTTCTTTGGACTATACTAAGCAATTATGCTAAACTTTCTAATGACTGAGGAAAATGGTATTGTGCCTTGAGGCAAATTTTGATGAACTACAGTTGTACTTTCTACAACTTTAGAGGTATATGTATAAAGAAGTATATTGTCTCAAATAGTTCTGTGACCTTTTGTTAGATTTTAGAGGATTATAAATAGCTATTATATAACACGAATATGTTTATCATTAGTAATCATTACATTAAACTCCTTACCTTTATGAAAAATTACTTGGTATAAACTGATTCAAAATAAATATTTAAGTAATTCATTTTTATTCCTAGAATTCACTAATTCATAAACCTTCCACATATCCAGTTCAATTCATTATTTGTGATTATATTAAATAAGTTCTTTTAAACACGTGTTTAGCTGTAATTCTTTCCTTCTATTCCTATGTA